ATATGGATCTTCAACACTACTCCTTTTTCTGCTTAGTTTTGATTTTAGTATTTCCAGAGTAACTATTTTCTTTCTTGTGTTAATTGTTAATTTCCTAGCTTTCTTTCTGTTATGTAATTCTTCTTTTCATACTATTTAATTACTACTTATTTTCTTTAATCCATCGCTTCCTATATACAAGATTGTGGTATTAGCTAATGTGTAAATGACTTTTCTGAACTGTATACAAGATTGGTTCTTTAGCTAAACTTTAATACGGAGCTCTAGTATGAAGTAGTAGTACTAGTTATTGTATTGTATAATAAAGTTTGGTTATGAGTTATGCTGCTCAGATTCTTCAAAAATGTCAACGAGTACTTGTCGAGTTCTCTAAAAATAGTGTATTTTAAAAGAATTCGACACGAGTGGAGCATCAAAATTGAAGAGTCCGCACAACTCAGATTATGAGTGCTTTTTTTTTATTTCTAGCCAACTTGAGAATGTTATCTAGCTTGATGAGAACGTGTTAATATATTTGGTCAACCATTTGCTCATTTTAATTTTTTTGGTATTCATTGATTCGACTAATTTAGAATTACACTCAATGTAAGGTTTGTTAAGAAAAGGAAGAGCTTCCTAATTAACAAGAGTTTCTTTATTATCAAGATTTAAACTCAAGGCCTATGATCAATCACCCTTTATATAATTTAACTCTTTTTCTATGCTTTTTGTTGGTCAACAACCAGGTAAACTGTTTTTATATTATTATTTTTTATTTATTGATCCAACTATTTAGGTTCACGTCACATAATGTCTATTAAAGGAGGAAAGCATTCCCTAACTATTTAACTCTCTTCATATCTAAGATTTAAACTCGAGGCTTATGGTCTCCCTTTATTTTCAACTCTTTTTCGTTTATGCATATTTATCTGATGATTGTCATTGGCAAACAATCGAGTAAACTACTCTATACATTTTTACTACTTACGATTCAACCATTTAGCTTATGCGACCAATATTGAAAAGATATGGTAGATAAATAATATTTTATTTGGCGTTTTACATGACAATTTTATGTTCTACGTGATGTCTTACATATATTATGTCACGTAGGACTCATGTGCCTACTTGATCAATTGTATACAAGATTAAGTGTCTATTGTGTACATCCAAAATTGAAGGGCATAAATATTAGCTAAAGCCAAGTTAAAGAACATATATATGTATTATACATTTATCAGAAGATACCATTTAAAATTGGGAAAATTGTATATAATAGCAAACTATTAATTCAAATTAAATGCTATAAACATAGTTTGATTTAATTGTACCCCATAACAAATTGTTGCTATTTCGCCTCTCTCCTGGTGAATCTCGCTCGCCACTCTCGTTCTCTCCCTCGCCTCTCTCACTTTTTATACAAACGCAGTTATATAAAATGCATTTGTGTTTGTATAAAGCGAGAGAAAATTGTATATATACATATATTTTCGTTCCCCTCTCTCCCCTCTCCCAGATCTCGCTCGCCACTCTCCCAGATCTCGCCAGTCTCTCTCTCGCCTCTCTCGCTTATACAAACAGAAATGTATAAATTGCGTTTTTGTTTGTATAAAGCCAGAAAAAATTATATATACACATGCAAATACATATATCTTCGTCCTATACACTTATAATTATACAATACAAATATCTCTCAGCCCAGTTCTCTTTTGTCTTTCTCTCTTTCTCGCTTTATACAAACACATATTATACAATTGATTTTTTGTATATATATACCGAAACAGATTATACAACTGCTTTCTTTTGTATATGTATAGCGAATTATACAACTGCTTTCTTTTGTAGATGTATAGCGAAATATACATATTTATGTTTGCTATGGAGCGCAATTATGCAAACTATAGCTATAGCATACAAATATGATTTTTATGTTTGCTATATGTGAAAGTTGCTCTTTAAAATTCTTGCATTTTCCAAATAAAAAGGAAGATTAAATATTAAAACTTTTAATATAGTTCAAATAAAGAAAGATTTAAAAGTAATTTCAATCAGTTTTAAAGTACTAAATATTACTCCCTCCGTTTCACAAAGAATGACCTGGTTTGACTTGGCACGGAGTTTAAGTAAATAAAGAAGACTTTTGAATCTTGTGGCCCTAAATTAAAGTTATGTCAAATGTACAAAATTGTCCTTAATCTTGTGGTCTTAAACATGCCACGTGGAAAGCAAAAAGTAAAATATTACCAAAAAAGGAAAGAGGTCATTCTTTTTGAAACTGACTAAAAAGGAAAGGAGGTCATTCTTTGTGAAACGGAGGGAGTAGGAGTTTTACCCTTTACAAATAAGTAAAGATTTAATAGTTATAACTTTAATTAATTTCAAAGTTTTAAATATTATTTAATAATCATTTGAGAAAAATAATATATGACAATTTTTATCTATTACATAATCTTTTAATGAAGGGTAAAACAATCAATCAATTTTTCTATATATTTATACATAGTACATATATTGGTTGAGCCAAAACTATGGAGTTCAAATGAATTCATAAGTTATATACTAAATTTGCCCCTAATAATGTCGCAACGCGCATATATATATATGGGAAAATTGTATATAAGAGAGAGGCGAGGGAGAGACTGGCGTGCGAGATCTGGGAGAGTGGCGAGCGAGATCTGGAAGAGGGGAACGAAAATATATGTATATATACAATTTTCTCTCGCTTTATACAAACACAAATGCATTTTATATATTTGCGTTTGTATAAAAAACGAGAGAGGTGAGGGAGAGAACGAGAGTGGCGAGTGAGATTCACCAGGAGAGAGGCGAAAGATAAAATTATATATACACATGCAAATACATATATCTTTGTCCTATACACTTATAATTATACAATACAAATATTCCTCTGTCCAGTTCTCTTTTGCATTTCTCTCTTTCTCGCTTTATACAAACGCAGATTATACAGTTGATCTTTTGTATATGTATACCGAAACAGAAACAAATTATATACAACTGCTTTCTTTTGTATATGTATAGCGAAATATACAATTTATATTTGTTATGGAGCGCAATTATGCAAACTATAGTTATAACATACAAATATAATTTATGTGTTTGTATAAAGCGAGAGAAAATTGTATATATACATATATTTTCGTTACCCCTCTCTCCCCTCTCCCAGATCTCGCTCGCCGGTCTCTCCCTCGCCTCTCTCGCTTATACAAAGAGAAATGTATACATTGTGTTTCTGTTTGTATAAAGCGAGATAAAATTGTATATACACATGCAAATACATATATTTTCGTCCTATACACTTATAATTATACAATACAAATATTCCTCTGTCCAGTTCTCTTTTGCATTTCTCTCTTTCTCACTTTATACAAACGCAGATTATACAATTGATCTTTTGTATATGTATACCGAAACAGAAACAAATTATATACAACTGCTTTCTTTTGTATATGCATAGCGAAATATACAATTTATGTTTGCTATGGAGCGCAATTATGCAAACTATAGTTATAACATACAAAATATGATTTTTGTGTTTGCTCAGGGGCCGGCTCTATGTATACAAAATAAGACATTGGCCTTAGGCCCCCAATTTAGGGGGCCTCAATTTTTTACCAAGAATAAATTATGTGTTAATTTTTTAAAGAAAATATTGTTTTATTTTCTTACACTCTCTACTAATACTCACATTATTTTCTTTTTAACTCCTTTTAGAGTAATATTTTAACTCCTTTTACACTCTCTTCTTTAAATTGTTGATAAGTTAGAGTAATATTCTGTCAAAAGTATCAATTAATAGTCAAAAAGTGTTGAACAAATTGAATTGTAAATTCTTTTTCCATTTCTTCTTAGATTTTCAAGCATTACAACAACCATAGTAAAATGTGGGGTAACCAAATTATCAACTTCATCAAAGCTATGGTTCTAACTCTTATATTTATTTGAAATTTGTCAACTTATTACTTGTAGAACTATGTTAACAATTCATATAATGATTGCCCGAGTAAAATAATATTTTTCAACGTTGAATTAATAAAATCTTATTTAAAACTAATAATTGAAAAAGAAATCGAATAAATCATTTATATATAAAAGAAATATTAGGTAATACTTTGCATTTAAAAATGTAAGAAAAATAAATTTTAAATAAATGCATGTGAAGTTTATTTAGATTTTAGGCCTCTAATTAAGATTTCTCTTTAGGCCTCCGATTACGTTGAGCCGCCCCTGTGTTTGCTAAATGTGAAAGTTGCTCTACATATATCATAAGTTGCATTATAAGAAAGTGTTGTAGGAACCTCTATGTCCCATTCACCCTATTTAAGTTCATTTAATGCAATAACAAATTATCTTATTCGTGTTTATTTCAATCCAACGTAATTTGACAATAAGGCGTGTATGAAAGACTCAAGTCTACATAAATTATATGAGTTATACAACATACTGCTACAAATAAAAACTTAGGTGTATCAAGTCTGATTTTCTCGATAAAAACTTAATTTTTTAAATTTAAGGGTATTCTAGGGATCGATTCGTTCTGGTAGAAAGTCAGAAATTTAGCATAAAAATTCTTTCATTAATGAATATTTAAAATATAGAAAAAGAAAAAGAAGAAATAGTATACGATTATGACGGAATATGACGTAGTAATTAAATATAGGACTATTTGGTCAAAACTATCAAAAAAAAAAAAAAACAAATCTGGCAAATTGTATTAACTATGACAGTTGATTGTTAAACATTTATCATATATAATAATAAACAAATCAACAGATAATTCACAAATCAATGTGTCTTTATACCACTTTGACTATAAAGTCCTCGAGATAAACTTGTTTTCTTCTTAAACAAAAAGCAATTAAAATTAATATTTTTTTCTAATTATTATTTGTTTTAAAATATACACAAACAAGTGTGAGTTCTCCTCTATAAATTATCCCATCCAATGATGTCTTTTCATTATTACAACACAACTTATATTTTCCATTCTAACAACGAAAAAAATGGCAATAAAATTCAATTCCATCCTTGGGATTCTCTTAGTGGTGGTTGCCACCGTGCTCCTCCATGTCTCCGAGGTACAAGGCGGTCGGAAAATAGTAATTAACGGAGACGATTGGGTTGACATACCCAATGTACAAGATCCTAAAATAGTGGAAGTAGGAAGATTTGCGATCCATGAGATTAATAAAGAGGCTAAAACAGAATTAGTATTTCTAAAAGTAATAGCAGGACAAAGTCAAATAAAATCTACTGAGGCAACTATTAATTTTAAATTGTTGATCTCCGCCCTGGACCGTGATTCACCACATTACTATCAGGTCATGGTGTCAGACAAGGAGCAGGGAAAATCTAGGAACCTCACTTCCTTCAAAGAATGTACTAAATTTGATCAAGATATATACATGTGTAAGTGATTTAGTTGATAAAGATACTAGATTTGATCGGAGTATCTAATCTTTAAAACAAATCTAGTGTAATTTATAAAAGTTAATGACATCAATGAAACGAATCTTCAATTGATATGAGTATGCTTTGCATGATTTATTTTATTTAATGTTATATGATCACTTGATAAGGTTTATTATTTTCTAATTTTTTTTGGGCTTGTAGCATTTTTCCTTTGTGAAAATTTTATAATTGACATATATATGACTAATAATTTCAAGTTATGACATTAGAATAATTCTTTCAAGTTGTAACAATAAAAAATTGCAAGTTCTAACATTTTAGTAAAATAAAAAATGTTTTAAAATTACAGCAAAAATTAATTTGTTTGAAAAAAATAGACGGTAAAAAATGGATAAATTAATAGTAATTAATTTGAATTGATTAATGATCATTAATATGTGCCATAAATTTAGGAGATTCAATTAAAAAGGGAATATTTGTTTTTCATTTTTATCTCCAATCAGTTAAGTTTAGTCCAAAAACAATTTTTCTTCTTTTATTCAAACGTTTCTCTCTCCTCTCATTTTTTTCTGAAATTTGTCGTCACTCACAACTAGTTTCAATTCGTTTTTATTCAATAATTTTCATTTTGTTGTAATGGACGACTTCGTATCAATATTAATAAAGCATGGTGGTAGATGGATCCTTCAGGTTAGTGTTCTTTGCGATTTTTTATTTGTATTGTTATACTACTCAAACGTAAAAAATAAAAATGAAGAACCGTGATGCTGGAAAGTAAATTTTCAGTTTTTGTTTGAGTATAATAGAATTTGATTGTGACTTTTTTGGTATGAACATTTTTTTTAAGAATTCATAATATAAGTTTGAAACTGGAATAGATTTTGGTATGAACTTTTTTTTTAATTTAAGATTTCTGGTAAAAAAAATTACATAAAATTTATCTGTAATTGATATACTGTTTATATCATTTTTTGCACGATTTTAAAATTATATTTGAATGAATTGCGTATAAATCATTACTTAATAAATGACAATTAATTGTCAAAATTAGGATTATGTTTATATTATATTGGCATTATGCTGCTATGAAAAAATTTATGATGTATATGATTAAATAATAATAATGTCAGGATGATATATGTATGAAAAGTGTGCCAAAAATGTATGAAATGTGTATATTTCATTCTATAATGTTTTATGGTATGATTTCTGATTTGAATGGATATTTTTTTTCACATTCTTATAAAATAAATTTGGTATACTGTTTATTTAAGAAATTACAATAAATATTTATAAGTTAGAATTATTTTGGTATTCTATTGACATGATATTGGTATGAATAATGAGTAAAAATATGTATGAAATGTGTGAATAAGAATTGTATTAAGTTTGTATACAAATATAACACATGTATTTTTTTCTTTTGTATTCTGTACGACTGACACGGTGATTTCTTGATGGAACATGCAAATATGTTGACTATTTAAAATATGCAATTCAAAAAGTGTCGGAGCATAAATTAACGTTGGAAAGAGTTTGTTGATTTGAAATTCAAGAGGTCTAAGGTTACATGCAGTACATTTCGTCGGAAGGGACACAACTGCTGAAATAAAGACATGATTTATTTTTATTTTAATTTGGTTATTTTATTGTGACAAACTCATGTTTTGATTTATTTTGTCTTTTAAGTTAATGACTTATATATTTAGAACATTTATTATGTGTACTAATTAATTATTTGTGTATTCAGTGTTTTTTTATAATCTATAGTAAAAAACTAGGTAATGCTGGTATGTAATTAATATCGACTGAAAAAATTAAGTCAAATCTTAGTATGAAATTGGTATATAGTTGGCATCAAACTGATGTCCCAGTGGTAAAATTGAAAAAGCAACATGTAATTGAGATTTCAACCGAAATAGCCAACCTAAAACTAATTAGAGTTGTATCCAATTTGTATACATTTGGTATCTAACTAATATCCCATTGGAATTTTTTTTTTAAAAACACGTAATTGAGATTTCAACTAAATTAATCAGCCTAAAACTAGTTAATTTTGTACCTAATTGGTATACATTTGGTATCAAACTGATATCTCATTGGAAAAATTGAAAAAACAACATGTAATCGAGATTTCAACTGAATTAGTCAGCCTAAAATAAGTTAATTATGTATCCAATTGGTATACATTTGGTATCCAACTGATCTCCCATTGAAAAAAATTGAAAAACCAACAGGTAATTGGGATTTCAACTAAATTAGTCAGCCTAAAACAAGTTAATATTGTATCCAATTGGTATGCATTTGGTATTTAACTAATATCTCATTGGAAAAATTGAAAAACCAATGTGTAATTGAGATTTCAACCAAAGTAGACAACCTAAAACAAGTTAATGTTGAATCCAATTGGTATCCACCAGATATCCCATTGGAAAATTTTAAAAAAATGTAATTGATTTTCAACCAAATTAGACAATCTAAAATAAATTAATGTTGTATCCAATTAGTATACACTTGGTATAGAATTTTAAAACAAAGACTAAAATAATTTTATTTATGAAATTGGTATCCAACTGATATAAATCTGGGAAAAATAAATTTGACAATGTAAAACAATGCATATTATGTATTGTTGTCAAAAACTGTAGCTAAAGAAATATACATCATCCAAAATCAAAACATGTAATAATTAAAAGTCTAAACCACAAATAACTATTTCAAAGTTCATTTCCTTGGTTTTAGTGTAGGATAATTGATAGTATCCTAAACATGTTCTTTTGCGTATGGGTAAAAGAGGAAGGTGGGGTGTGGGTGGGGGATTGCCGTGTGAAAATTAGAAAAGAAAAATCCTAAAATAGTGTAAGAGATAATGACAATTGATTATCTAATATTAATCTTATCCCTAAAATGGTGTAAGAGATAATGACAATGTAAAAAAGGAAGACGAATCAATGTAAATCCAGCGTGTAACTGTAAAAAAAAAAATAGGAATCAATGTAAATCTCTATAATTGTGTAAGAAATAATTATGGTGTATTCTTTATTTAAATAATCAAATAATAATATAAAAATATTAATTATTTAATAAAGTAAAATTTAATTGATTTATAAATAAATAGTGATATGTTATATAATGTAATTAAACTGTTATAAGCAAGAATTTATTTAAAGTAGGTTCAAAACCCGTAATATTGTCGCTTAAATGTGTATGTGGGGTGATTCCCCCACCCCCCCCCCAAAAAAATAGGGACAATCTTTGACAAAGCATGGGCCTCTCTTGCCCATGCCAGAGAAAAAGATCTTGGGCCTAAAGCCCTAAGTGTTTTTTTGGGGAATTGGGCTTAAAGCCCAAAGATTTTACTTACCTAAGTGCATCTTTTTTGGTAAAATTTACCCAAGTGTTGACTAGATTTTCAAGTACCTAAATTAAAAATAGAAGAAAAAAGAAAATTAATGGTAAACTAATTATATAATTTCTAAATATAGTCATATTGATATATTTTGAAATTTTGGAGTATTAGTGTGAAATGATTAATTTGAAAATCCTCCACTATAAATAAGACCACCCAATGAGGTCTTTTCATTCACCACACAAATTATATTTTCCATTCTTACAAAGAAAATAAATGGCTATCAAATTCAACCCCGTCCTTGTGACTCTCTTTGTGGTGGCTTCCACCATTCTCCTCCATATCTCCGACGCAAGAAGCGTCCGGAGAGAGGCTTTGGCGGGGGATTGGGAGCCCATAACCAGTATAACGGAGGAGGTGACAAAGATAGGAAAATTTGCGGTGGATGAACACAACAAAGAGGCCAAGACAACATTAGAGTTTCAAAAAGTAATAAAAGGAGAAAATCAAGTTATTGAGGGAATAAATTATCGGTTGGTCATCGAGGCCAAGGACGGTGATTCGACGCATAACTACTTGGCTGAGGTGTGGGATAAGCCTGATAAATCTAAGAGTCTCACTTCCTTTAAACAATTACTAGAAGCGTAGAACAAAAATGTATTTTTAGTTTTTTACCTAAGATTCATTGATAAATTAAAAATGTTAGATCTGAATGGACGAAGTGTATTATCTTCTAAAGAAATTTAATGATTTATAGAATTTAATGAAATGAATCTTCAATTAATATGGGTATGTTTTGCATGATGATTTATTTTATTTGATGGTGTATGATTAATTTATAAGGTTAGCATTATTTATTTATTTTTGCTTGTTGCCTTCTTTTTTTTTTGATGTTTGTATACATATATGTATGTACCTATCAATTCATCAAGCAACAACACATCTTAATTTCTTACTAACAATAATTTACTGTCGGGATTTCTATATCAAGCTATTCAAGTTTATTTCAATCCAATAATAAATTATTTGCTTCTAAAGTGTTTTTAAAGAATTTTATAAATGTCATTTTAATCCTATAAGTTTAATAAAGCTTGATTTCTTGAATTTCTTTTTAGAGGGAGTCTATTCTATATTAAATATATTAGCCAATTGTCACAAAGGAATATGATATAATTTTAATTAGATGTTTCGAGTTTGAGACTTGAGAATTACAAAATAAATAAATTAATACATACAATATTTTCTATATAAATTTTACAAGATATGACTCTGAATTAATCATGACAATGCAAATATTTGAATACCAGATGATTAAATAAATAAATAATAATTGTTTGGAAGTGCAGAGTGTCTACTTTTCATGTGTTAGAATATGAGGGAACAAGTTCTTTATTTCTAAAAAGATAAAAATATTATATATGGGTTAGTTGATGATACAATTTTCTTTAAAAAAACATAGATTTTAATAAAATTGGAGTATTAGGGTTAAAGGGCAAATCTGGAAATTTAAGTCCCTTGACAAGTGTGGGTTTTCTACTATCCATAAACTATAGCACATGAAAATCGACAAATTCTGGATTTACCTGCTTTAGGGTTCGTTTGAACTTGAAAATGCGTCTGTTTGCCCCGCGGGACCAACTAGCTCCATTACTAAGGTCTTAACCAACGTCCATGAAAAATTTCGGTCAAACACAAGCCGAAATCTCGGATCACAAAAAAATCCATGGACTATATCACATGAAAATCGACAAAATCTGGGTTTCCCTGCTTTGGGACTCATTTGAACTTGAAAATGTGTATGTTTGCCCCTCAGGACAAACTTACTCAATTTCTAAGGTATTAATGGACGTTCATGAAAAATTTCAGCCAAAAACAAGCCGGAATCTTGGATCCCAAAAAATCATTCGATTACAGCACACGAAAATTGGAGAAATCTGGGTTTACCTTCTTTGGGACTCGTTTGAACTTGAAAATGCGCCAGTTTTCCCCTCAGGACCAACTGGTTCCATTACTAAGGTCTTAGCGGACGTCTATGAAAAATTTCGGCAAAAACAAGTCGAAATCCTGAATCACAAAAAATCCTATAGCAAATGAAAGTCAACAAAATATGGGTTTACCTACTTTGGGGCTCGTTGAACTTGAAAATACGTCTGTTTTTCTCTAGGGACCAACTTACTCCATTACTAAGGTCTTAACAGACGTCCATAAAAAAATTTGGCCAAAAATAAGTCGGAATCCCGGATCACCAAAAAATCCATGGATTATAGCACACGAAAATTGGGAAAATCTGGGTTTACCTTCTTTGGGCTCGTTTGAACTTGAAAATGCCAACTGGCTCCATTACTAAGGTCTTAGTGGGCGTCCATGAAAAAATTCGGCCAAACACAAACCGAAATCCCGGATCACAAAAATTCCATGGACTATTGCACATAAAAATCGACAAAATATGGGTTTACCTGCTTTGTGGCTCGTTTGAGCTTGAAAATGAGTCCATTTACCCCTCGAGACCAATTGGCTCCATTACTTAGGTCTTAACGGACGTCCATGAAAAATTTCGGTAAAAAACAAGCCGAAATCCCGGATCACCAAAAATTCATGGACTATAGCACATGAAAGTTGGCAAAATATGGGTTTACCTGCTATGGGGCTCGTTTGAACTTGAAAATGCGCCCGTTTACCCCTCGGGACCAACTGACTCCATTACTAAGATCTTAGCGGAAGTCCATGAAAAAATTTGGCCAAAAACAAGCCGGAATTCCGAATCACAAAAATCCATGGACTATAGCACATGAAAATCGGTAAAATATGAATTTACCTGCTTTGGGGCTCGTTTGAACTTGAAAGTGCGCCAGTTTGCCCCTCGAGACCAACTAACTCCATTACTAAGGTCTTAACGGACGTCCATGAAAAATTTCGGCAAAAAACAAGCCGGAATCCCGAATCACCAAAAATCCATTGACTTTATTTAGCCCATGGATCTGGCATCTGGAGCACTAAATTTTTTTTTCTAAAAAAACTCTATGAGGACCTCTGTAATGAGTTGGAGAACCTTCACATATACCCACACAATTTTTTAATGCCCATTTCCACATTTACAAGCCTTTTTTTAAGAATCGATTTTTTTTTTAATTTTTCGTGTATATTAGCCCATGTATCTGGCGCCTGGAGCACCAAAAAAAAAAATTTCAAAAAACTTTACGAGGACCTCCGTAATTAGCTGGGGAACCTTCACATATTCTCACACCTTTTTTTCAACGCCTATTTGTGCATTTACATACCCTTTTTTAAGAATCGCCTAAATTCTCCAATTTTTTATGTATATTATCCCATGGATCTGGCGCCCGGAGCATCCAATTTTTTTTTCTCAAAAAGCTTTATGAGGAACTCCGTAGGGAGTTGGGAAACCGTCATGTATACTCACACCTTTTTTTTAACGCTCATTTCTGCATTTACAAGTATTTTTTTAAGAATCACCCAAATTCTCCAATTTTGTGTGTATTCTGGCGCTCGGAGCATTCAAAAATTTTTTCTCAAAACTTCCAAATCATATTTTTAGGAGAATTCGGAAATTGGAGATCATGTCCAAATGTTGATTTGAAATCATGACTTCATATCACTTGTCCAAACGCAAGCTAAATTTTAAGCAAATTTCCCTGATATTTGGCTTTTGGTAAGTGAAACTTTAAATAAAAATGTCTCAACTCAGATGCAAATTTTTAACTTCAATCACGTACGTATGGAGTAATTCTAAAGGAACAAATTATATCTAAAAGCAAAAGAAATTAAGGCACAAGTTATTGCCTTAGTGGTCCAAATTATGCCCCAAGATATAACTTATGTGGCACAAATTATGTCATACAACTTAAAATTTATTACTACAAGTTATGCATTAAATAAAAGTTCTCTAAAAGTGTTGCATGCGAATCAAATATTACAAAACTTTATGACTCAAGGCATACATTCTCTAACAAAAATCTTCCTTGTGAAATTAATCCGCCTAGCAAATTTAAGTCATAATTAAGGATACTTTGATCTACAAATTTTCATTAAATAAACACTAAAACACAAATTAAATACTACCCCAAAAAATAGGGACAATCAGTGCAAAAACATAGGCCTCTCTTTCCCATGCCAGACAGAAAAAGATCTTGGGCCTAAAGCCCTAAGTGTTTTTTTTGTTGTATAAATTATAGGAACCACATATTATAAGTACTAACTAACATCCTATCCCTTTTAGTTTTCTATTTACCAAAAAACCCTTAAAAATGATGTTTGCGGGATACATAGCGTTGTGCACGGGATACATTAGGTTTGATACATTCCACATAGCGGGATATATAGCGTTGTGCACGGGATACATGCGGGATACATAGCGTTGTGCACGGGATACATAATGTTTGATACATTCCACATAGCGGGATACATTAGGTTTGATACATTTCACATAGCGGGATACATAGCGTTGTGCACGGGATACATTAGGTTTGATACATTTCACATAGCGGGATACATAGCGTTGTGCACGGGATACATTAGGTTTGATACATTTCACATAGCGGGATACATAGCGTTGTGCACGGGATACATTAGGTTTGATACATTTCACATAGCGGGATACATAGCGTTGTGCACGGGATACATAATGTTTGATACATTCCACATAGCGGGATATATAGCGTTGTGCACGGGATACATAGCGTTTGATACATTCCACATAACGGGATACATAGCGTTGTACACAGGATACATGCGGGATACATACATAAATAAGGGATTTTTGAAAATTTTGAAATAAGTAGGGATAAATGGATATTAAGGTAAGTAAAGGAGTGTAGTTAAGTAATTTGTCCTTTTTTTGGGAAAATTTTCAAAACAACAATATTTTAACATTTAATAGGACCTTATAGCCACACTTTCAATATTTATTAAAAATGTCAATATTTTAGTGTGTTATATTGTTGATTTATGTATTTTTTTTCATTTGATTAATTTGAAAAAATACAATTAGTTAATAACAAAATGGAAAAAATCAGGGGAAATAATATTTCAAATAAGGTAATTTTTAAATTTAAATCAACAAAATTACCATAATTACTAAACTTATGGGTATTTTAAATAATTTTTAGAACTTATGGTATAAATCATATTTTTTGAAATAGTCAAATATTTTCGGGAGGATTTGGGGCCAAACACATGGTGAAACTTAACCAAAAAACTTCACCCAAATATGATTTGCCTAGAATATTTGAGAGCATGGGGCCAAACGCTAGCTTGGAGAGTTGATTAATTTTCTTATATGTTTTTTTTAAAGTATTTTAAATTGTTAATTATTGTGATTTATGGTATATGTTACATAATTTTTAAATAATATATGTTATTCCATTTGTTCCAATTTATGTTGCATCCATAGAATTTCAAGAATCAACCAATTTTTTATATCTTCTTAAAAATATTTTAAAGTTTTTAAATTTATAGTACTAATTTTCAAATATATACTAGAATATTTTAAATTTTTTATTATTTTAATTTTCATGTAATTTTAAAATATATAACGTACTGTTAAGAGTTGTGTGCTTGTACAATCTTAGTAGATATCAAAATATTTTAAGTTGTTAATTATTGTAATTTATACTAGTATTTTTTATGTA